GCGGTGGTCCTTCAGTTCATCGGAGGGCTTGGAAACAAGGCCCCAGTTAAAGAGAATGTACTGTTTGTGTTCCTGAATGAATGGACTGTTTGGCCGAGTACAACAGCACCTTTCCTGAGTGCTGAGTATTTTCCAGGTGAGGTGATGGATGCTCACTCAGTGTTTGTAAAACGAGACCCCCATGAGGTGCGGGTTCAATGTGACATCACCTCAAAGAAAAAAGATACAGGGAAAGATGAGGTCATGCAGAGACTCTCAGCTGGGGTGATCTTGCTCTCCAGGGTCATTTAAAAATGTCTGAAGACATGATTGTCATGTGTCATGACTTGGTGGCTCTCTTTCCATCTCATGGGTGGAGACCAAGGATGGCACTCAACATCCTTCAATGTACAGGACGCCCTCCCCTCCCCCACAGAGAAGGAAGGGGCTCAGCTCACCGCTTTCCCGTAGTCTCTCCAGACCTGCACAGGGGCCAGTGAATGTCCTGTGACCCTCACTCTTCCTGTGCTCCCCTGGGAGCATGGCATGGATGGCAGCTTCTCTCTTTCCCCAGTCTTTGCGGGCACTTGACTTCCTCTCCCATTGCAACATGGCCCTTTCCTGGGCCTTTTGTTTACCTCCACTATTAGTTTGCTTTTCAAACCTAGGTTTTTCCAAACTTCAGTTATTCAAATTTCCCAATATAATTTTGTCATATATATATATATATGTGTCCCATCTACTTCATAATCTTGTCACTGTCAACTCTTCTTGCTCTGCAAATACTGCTCGTCTCATCTTAACCAACTCTATTTCATAAATAATGGAGTGTACATTTAGATATAATAGATAAATGTGAAGCAAACCCCCCAAATTGTTGTTTACTGGGGAAAGTTACTCTATTGGAACAAAATAAGCTGGCAGTATAGGTAGGTGACTAGCATAGGCGTCTCAGGTCTCCAGTGGCCAGGCAGAATTCAGTCTGTACTTCCAGAAACATGGGGCTACATTTCCCTGTATCCTCTCTTCCCCTCTCACCAGTGACTGCCATCGTTGGACCCCTGGGGAAGAAAGGCAGGAAGGCCAGAACTTCTACAGACCACCAAGGGGAGGACAATTCATGTGTTAAGTATTTTTTGGATTCTGTCACACTTCATTTAATTGTCATAGCTATATGCTATGACACCTCATTTTACAAATGAGCAACAAGGCTCTGTGAAATGAAATACTTGCCTAAGGCTTCATACCCAGTCTGCAGGACAGCCCCAGACCTTTTTGTCACTACAGCCCAGGCTTGGGCACCCTTGCTTCTCAGTTTTTACCTACGTTGCAAACTCACTGCTTCTTCTTTAACCCTGCCAGCATTTCTACTTGCTGGGTAGTCTGGGACTAGACATTGACCTTTGTGATCCAAAGAGTCCTTATCTCTATGACAAGAGTTAACTTTGTCTATCTTGGGGGGCTTTCATGAGGATTAAACCAATCAAGTGCTTGGACAATATCTGCCGCCGAGCAAGCATCACACATGGTATCATTTATTAATTTGGCTGCCCCCCAATAAGGCTCTTCCATGGAAGGTTGAGATCTTCCATGGAAGGGCTTCTTTTTTTAATTTGGCATTTAATTATCAGCTTTTTCCCAGTTTCTAGATTTCTGTTGGTTCTTAGATGCCCTGACGTTTCTGTAAGTTAGTTGATATCCTGCTGGGAAAGGGTGACAGCAGAAGGTAACAGGAAGAGAATTTGACTCTAGGGTGCTTTTTTTTGTTGTTGTTATTTAAGGATTATTGCACCTGTTGGTTTAGGTGTCTCTCCGGGCTTGATGTAAATTACCATTGCCTGTGGACTTGGAAGATTCTAGATGGCTGGATACCATCTTCGATTTACTGGCTGGTAAAGTTGGGGAAACAGGTTGTCTTTCTCAAACTCCACATTTGTGCTGATACCAAAATGTGAGGACCACTGACACAAGACTGACACTGTCTTGTTTGGACTTGAACTCATAATTAGGTATATCAATAGTCACTTAGTCATTGAACACATTTTTTTATCGACTAGTTTTATCTATAAGACATTACTTTCTAGTGAGAGTGATCAACGAGAGTCAAATAAATTAATGAGAAAATATATAGAAGCAATAAGATCTGTGATAAAACAATGAAGGTGCACATGACTGGGCTTTTCTTTGGAGAGTGCTCAGGGCAGGTGTTTTGAGGATTTGGCCTGGGGCTGAGGACTAAGAAGGAGCCAGTAACTGGAAGATTAGGGGAAAGACTTCAGGCAGAGGAAGCAGCCATAAAGGCCTGGAGCCAGAATGAACTTGGCAGATTTGAGTCCATGTCCCATGGATTGAGGGAGGGCTGAGAATTATCAGAGGATTTAAACCATAAGAGCTTCATTGGACCAGATGAGGATTTTTATTCAGAATGCAGTGGAGACACTGAAGTGTTTTGAGCCAGGGATGTATGCTCTGTACCACTGCACCAGCTGCTGTGTGGAGAATGGGCTTTAGCTAAGGAGGCTGGTGTGCTCATCCCAGCACTGTGGAAAGATATTAAAATGAACCTCGGAAGGCCAGCTGAAATTTAGAAGTTAGTGGCACTTACAAAGAATTAGAATCATTATGCATTTTCATTGTCTTTTGTTGTTGTTGTTGGTGGTGGTGGTGGTAGTGGTGTATGTGTGTGTGTGGAGTGCTGATAAACCCACTTCATTTAGCCCAGGCAACAGCTTTGGGGGCAGCAGGAGGGGAAATGATGCATCTTCAAACCTGACTATCTTGATTCTTAAAATGTCCAGTGCGTTTCCACGTGAAGGTCTGAGAGAGCTGGGGTGAGGGAGACAGGGACACCCCACTTCCAAGCTTTTTTTCCTGAGAAATGGGTGCCAGGAGGAGGGGCTGGGCATGGTGACTTTCTTCTCTCCCATACCACCAGTAGTCTTTGAAAAATTGCAGTGAAATACCTGCTTGTTTCTCCTGACTCTAACAGCATCTGTCTGGAAACTCTGAGCAACATCTGGATGTGTGAGTGGTACAAATATGGGCTCAGTCTCCTTCCATGGCAAGTGGAGCAAAAAGACATCAGCACCAGGATGCAGGATGCATGGCCAGGCTGGCTGGCTGGGCATTCTGGACAATTATAACTGCCCCCCCGCCATGCCCCCATCTAAATTCTTTCCTCTGTAAAACGATGCATCTGTCTTAGAGGTTTGTTGACAGGACAAATGAGATAATGTGAAAATGACATAAAAGAAAGAAAAGTAAGTTATTTTTATCTTGCTTACATAGAAATAGGACACCAGAATTCCTACAGTTGTGAGTATGATTCCTGAAGAATTTGATCCCCTTTTCCACATTTGCCTGCTAAGTGGCCACATACAAATCTTATTATTTGGAATCTTGATTAAAATAACGAGGATGACAGAGGTTTAGGAATCCCAAGCCTGGTATTTTTGGAAACTGAGTGGGAGTTTTGAAGTTTGGCTAAAAGGCATTGTAGTAGAAAAGACAAGCTTTGTGATCAATGCGGCTGTTTGTGCATTTACAAAACAGTTCCCAAACTGTAGTGTAAGACAGGGCGTCCACGCGCGCGAGCCCCAGGATGCTAGCAGGTGGCGTGTTGCAATGTGATGTGCTCAGGCAGCCACAGAAGCCTTTTATTATTTCCAAACATCACAGTCAGAGTGAGAAACAAGTGATTTTGCTTACATTAGCAGAAAATCTTCAAGTACACACATGCACAAAAAAACCTTGATAGATTCCAGAACAGGAAAACAGACAATTGCACACCAAAGAACCAGCATCATATAAGAACTCACCCCGCGGGAATGGCACAAACTGGAGTGAGCCATGGCAGGAAAGGATCTGGCAGGTGCCAGCTGCATGCAGCAGTATGCAGTGCTCAGCAGGAAGCCTGCCCTGTGCTCACAGGGGTGGATGCTTTACTTGACAAGGGATAGGGGTTAATGACAGAGCCATCCAACTTTAACACTGTATCGAGCAAAAGGGGCAATGAAGCAAACAGCATTCTCTTTCATAGCTAATGTGCATCCTGTCACAGAGACGCATTTATTACAGGGGGAAAGAAAGGGCTTCCAAGAAAGTTGCCTGGCAGTGCTACAGTTTCTCAAACTCTGTAAAGGACAGTAGTAAAGCCATTTCTTGTGAGACACAAACCCTCCCATCCACGATTGCATTCTCTTGTTCTAAAGGCAGAAAAGGAATAATAGAAGAAACATTTCCTGTTTTTTAAAGAATATGTCTTGAAATGACCAGGTATCAAAACACAAGAACACAACAGGTACTCTGTGATTGTTAGATTTTGAAGGCTTATACTTAATGCACAAAACCTCAACAATAACAACCAGGACAGCAGCAGAGATAGAAGTGGGTTACAGCTCCATGCTAGCTTTTTTGAGGGGAGGGAGAGGCTGGCATGTATGTGAGGGCAAGAAAGGGGAAAAGAACCTCACATTGCTTCTTTCACAAAGAGTTCATGGTTTTTAGACAACTGCTTCACTGTAAATACAGTAACTGAGTAGAAACTCAGTCTGCTACTGGATAAGTACAAAGCTATCCATGTAGCTGACAGCCGGAGGTCACAGCTGTTAGCAGGGTTGCTTGAGAGAGGTTTGAGCCCCCCTACCTGTTCCATGAGGCCGCTCCTGTCTGATTGACTTGAAACACAAACACATGGGTGTGAGGTGAGTGAGCAGGCAGGCCTTACAAGCCCTGGACACTGAGAATGAACACAGACAGCACCTGGAGCAGCCTTTGCTGGTTTCTCCAGTGTCTGTGTTGGAGGTCAGAGACTGACTTACCCACACTGGAGAGAGTCTGCTCTGTACCACACTCCCTTCTTCCCCTTTTAGAGGGGGTTGTAGGTTTAAAGACAAAGACCAGAACAATCATGGCTGCTAACACATTTTTATATCTTCTGGGCATTTCTTTCTCTTTCTAAACATCTTGGAAAGGGGTGCCCAAAGTGACTGGGTGATGGACCATTTCCATGGCTCGGCGTCCTAGCCCAAGTTCACTCCATTGCAGCCACAAAGAATCTCCTTAAAGGTGTTGCGTAGTTCCAGGCTGCGGAAGGCATAGATGAGGGGGTCGATGACAGAGTTGCACATGATAAGAACCAGGTAGGTGTTGAAGTGGGCCGTGTAGCAGATGCAGTAGGGGTTGGCGGGACAGGTGATGATGAGGACCAGGTGGAGGAAGAAGGGGGCCCAGCAGAAGATGAAAACCCCCAGCAGGATGGTGATGGTGACGGCTCCCTTCATGCAGGAGTGCTGCTGGGGGCTGCCCCATCGGCAGCGGGCAGTGCTGCGATGCGCTTGACGTGCAGCCGGGCGAAGAGGAACATGTGCACATAGAGGGTACCCATAAGGAGCATCATGGCGAAGAACATGGTGATGAGGCACACGATGACCATCTTACTCTCTGAGTAGACGATGAACACCACGCCGCAGACGCCGCAGCAGACCCAGATGCCCACGATCAAGGTGAGGGCCTTCCTCACGGTCATGATGCTATGGTAACGTAGCGCGTAGAAGATGGTGACATACCTGTCAATGGCGATGGCCAACAGGTTGCAGATGGAGGCCACCAGGGAGATGCAGATCATGGAGTCGAAGATGTTGTCCATGTATTGGATGAACTGGTCCTCGAAGGTCAGGTAGTTGCTGTTGACGATGGCGATTGTGATGGTCTCCAGGGCGTTGGACACACTCACCAACATGTCGGCCACCGCCAGGCTGCAGAGGAAGAAGTACATGGGGGAGTGCAGGTTGCCATTCCTGACCACGGCCAGGATGACCAGGATGTTTTCCAGCAGGCTGATGATGCCCAGAGCCAGGAAGACCTCCGGCTTGATGAAGACCTGCTCACAGAACCTGCTGCTGGTCTTGTTGCTGAAGGAAGGGGCTGAGAGGTGCTCTGAGCTGTTAGGCAGCGTTGGGTGAACAAAGAGCAGACAGCACGAAGCATTCATGGCTCCCAGACCAGCCGATCCAAGCTGGGCTCCTGCAGAGTCTGGAGGACACTACTTCTGCTCACGGGAAAGGCAAAATCTCCCTTGAGATGCTTCTTCTGGATTCTTGTCCAGTTTACACTTAGATTTTGTTCTTCCCCAGAACAAGAGGGAGAGAGGGAGAAAGAGAGAGAGGGGTGGGGAGAGAGAGAGAGACAGAGAGAGAGAGACAGAGACAGAGAGATAGAGACAGAGAGACAGACACAGGGAGAGAGAGACAGGAGACAGAGAGAGAGAGAGTTAGCAACGTGTAGACGTAGGAGCTGCAGTTAGTAGATACTTTGATCAGCTGTCTTCTTCTTCTCTCTCAGACCCTGCTCTCTCGGTCTCACATCCCAACCTGGGAACAGGAAATCTTTCTCTGGTTGCTACAGTTACGACTCTGTTTATTCATAGCAAGGCAGGGGATGTGGTACTTGTCGCTAGAAGTGAGGGGAGATTTGCTCGGGTTTTATGCATTGTCGGGGGGCAAACAACTCCCACTTAATCTCCGCTGCTGCCAAATGACCACTGAGCATCAGGCACCTGTCTGACTGACAGCAGGTCCCGGCTCCCCGCTTTGCAGGCAGATTCAGCAGCAGACTGGCGCCCTCTGCAGGCCAGACTGCTCACCTGCAGTGGTGGCGGAGCAGTTCCTATCAAGGAAACTGCTGTAGGTGTCCTTAGTCCTGTTCGCTGGTTTGATCATTAAAAAAAAAATAATAATAAGCGCTTGCCACGCAACAAGTCTCTACTGGGTTCAGGCATACAGTGGCTAGCAAGAGAGCTGCAGTCCCTGCCGTCCTTGAACTCAGAGACCCAAGGTGGAAGAAGAGAAATCAGGTAATGAAGGGCATACCTTGGAGATATGGCAGGTTTGGTTCAAGACCACCACAATAAGGCAAATACTACAATCAAGTAAGTCACATGAATTTTTGTTTATTTTTCAGTGCATATAAAAATCATGTTCACACTATTACTGTAGCCCACTAAATGTGTAATATCGTGTCTGAAAAGCAATGTACAGGCCTGGATTTTAAAATAGTTTATTGCTAAAGTTTCTAATAATCACCTAAGCCTTCACAGGTTGGTCATTTTTTTGATGGTGACCCAAAGTTGTTGGCTGATGACTGATCAGGGTGGTGTTGCTGAAGGCTTGGTGAACAGGGCAACTTGTGTGTGTGTGTGTGTGTGTGTGTGTGTGTGTGTGACTAGAGTTTGAACTCAGGACTTTGTGCTTGTAAAACAGGTATTCTACAGCTTGAGCCATACCTCCAGTCCATTTTGCTCTGGTTATTTTGGAGATGGGGGGGTCTCTTGAGCTGGTCTTGAACCTCGATTCTCCCGATCTCCCAAGTAGCTGGGATTACAGGTGAGCCACTGGCCTCTGTTTTGGTGCAACTTCTTATACTCTGACACCAATGAAGTTTGCTGTATCAATGGGGCCTTCTATTAACCAAAGTCTTCTATGCTGTACGCAGTGCTGTTTGATAGCATTTTACCCACAGTGGAACTTCTTTCAAAACTGGAGCCGGTCCTCTCAAGCCCCCTGGCTGTGGGAACCATCTGTGGAATGTTGGTGCAGTACTTCCTCACCTGACCTACAAAATCAGTGTTCCACAGGAGGAGTTGCTGGACAAGTGTGTGCTCAGTTTCTAGCAGGTGAGCTGGGCACAGCCGGGGTTGCACTCTACTGAAAAGGAAGCTTGGCTTGGGGTCTTTGAAGCACTGAAGGTGCTTTGCTCTGGCCAGAGTATGGAACTGGGAGACACAGTTTCAGAAATGAGACTGTAAAAGTTTTACCAAAAGGGGAGAGGTGCCAGGATCCTGGAGGACAGAATCAGCCCTCTGTGGGAGTTTGGACTGTACCTGGAGACAGTGGGGCTGGCATGGTTGGGGAGGGTGTGAAGGAGATGGGGCCTGCATTTTAGAAAGTCCTGGTTGCTGGATGGAGAGCCTGGAGCCAGGGAGTCCAGAGTGGAGGAAGCTGGAAAGACCCAGTGTGAGATGGTGGTGACCATGGATGCAGAGAAGAGGACAGATGAGAGGATAGAGATCTTCAGGAGGAAGAATCCAGGATCCAAGATGGCTAGACATGGAAGTGCAGAAGAGGGAGTCACTGGGGAGCAGCCCTACTTCCTTCTTAATGGGGAAGATGTGATAGCTTAGTCTGGAAAACAAAAGAATTTAACAGCTGCTCTACTAATGTGGTGTTGTACTTGGAAGTGGGGCTCAATCCTTGGTCATGTTAGATCTGATTTGTGCAATGAATTCATAAAACACTGAGATCCTTTGTTCACACACACACACACACACACTCCAGATGGAGTAATTATCCTTCTATCATCTAACTCTGTGTGTGTGAATTAGAAGATAATGCCTATGCAAATTGAAGAAAATTTAGAATTCTTATAAAGCCTTGAGGTGGGGATCTTCTTAAGATGGGCGACCCAATATTTAGCAAGGAAAAGTACTACAAATAAAGTCAAAAGACAAATGGGCCAGAAACATTCGCTAGAGGCAGAGGTTACTTTCTCTATATAAAAAGAATTCTTTCACATTAATAAGAAAAAGATGGACTGCCTTTCAGAAACTTGGGCAAAGAGTATGAATAGTAATTCACTGAAAAGGAAATGCAAATTGCTAATAAACATAGGAAAAGATGGGCAGCCAGAGAAATGCAAATCAGAGTGAGAGTTGAGCACCATTCTCCCAGTTAGATTGATAGGAATTAAAAAGATCGCAAACCCAGGAAAAATGCTGGAAGTGCTCTTAAGCATTCCTAATGTTTGTAAGAAGTTTTACTAGTTGCCTGCTTCTGCTAAAATCAAAATGCACACGAGTGTGAATCTCAGGCTATCAACTAAGGAGTATGAGAAATACCACTTTGGCTTATTCTCAACAGCACAATGTAATTTTTGGCACTAAGTCCCTGTTCTTCCAGGCTGTGGGAAAACAATCTTAATCCTTTGGAATTTCTCCTCACCCCCAGGGTCACATACACAGGTGCACTTACCCTGCCCAGGCCTGTGATCTCCAGGGCACTAACGCCATCTACAAGTCTAGGTTGGAAGGCAGGGTCCACTGACTATCTCTGAGGTCTTTCGCTACTTGGTCTAGGCTGGGCACAGAGCATCTTTCCTGGCTTCCATCCTGTGGCATGTGCATCCTTTAGAGAGAGCAGATGGACTTGACACTTCCAACCTGTGTCCCCAGAAATGTCACCACTGCTAATGGGGGCCACTTTGGTCTTCTCTGAACACTGCTCCCTGCTTTCCAGGGGAAGCCGCCCAGATGCAGCCCTACTTTTTAATTGAATCTTCTGTTAAAAAATTGGCTTTATTTTAATAATTGCAAGATGTGACAGTCTCTGTCAGAGTTTACCATATGGTGTTGGCATATGTGGGAGTTCCTGTTTTGAATCTGTTATAACAAACTGTAACAAGGTTTACAGTGGATTAGGAGAAAATTCATCCAGATGTTCTCTGTACTGAATAGCTCTTCAATTTTGTGTCTGGTATATTCCTCTTATCCTTTAACAGCCAGCTTAAATGTCAACTGTTTTTATAGCTTTCCTCAAATTTCATACACCAGTTTACTCCCTCCCCCTTTCACTGCCAGCTTCCCACTGCCAAGCCAACAGGCTCAGTATTCCTTCCTGCCTTTCAAACACATGGCAACAAGGGAAAAAATATGAATTGGACTTCATATTTTCAACTTTAATGTTGAAAATTTTGTTTTTTAAAAGATACCACCAAGGAAGTAAGAAGACAACCCAAAGAATGAGAGAAAATAATTGCACAGACCTGAGAAACAGCTTGTATTTGGAATGTGTAGAAAACATTTACAACTGAATAATTTTAAAATGGCAAAGCATCCTGATCTGATCATTACCCATTTGTGTTTATATATCAAAATACCACACTGTGCCCCATAAATACATCAAGCTATTATGTGTCAGTTACAAAACATTTTGAGGCCAAGCATGGTGGTACATGCCTGTAATCCTAGCTACCTGGGAGGCGGAGGCAGGAATTCAAGAATTTATTCAAGAATTTATTCAAGAATAAATTCAAGGCCAGCCTGGGCAAAGTTAGTGAGATCCTATCTCAAAAAATAAAACAAAACAAAATATAAACAACCAAAACAGTGCAAGAGGCAAGGGGTGCACGAGGCCCTGGGTTCAATCCCTAGTACCAAAAGGAACATGTTTATGTGTATGTATATATCTGCACATTACAAACACAGCAGCAGAGGATCTGAGTAAGCACAACACCAAAGGAAATATCCAATGTCCAAAGAGCACATGAAAATACTCAACACTAATAGCCGTTAGGGAAATACCAAAACACACTAAAAACCATTCAATTGTACACTTTAAGCAGGCAAATTTTATGGTAAAAAGTATTGATGTTATCTCAATAAAGCTATTTAAAAGTCACATGAAGGCTATTGCATTACTAAAAGTGACAGGTCACTAAGAAAGGGTGGCCTTGGCCAGTGGTTATATTAGAACACATGCCTAGGTTTTGTCATTGATCTAAGCTTCTCCTGAGGGATAGGTGCCTGGACTCCCTTCTTTCAGCAGTCGCTTGCTGGACAGCTCCCTGTGAGCTCAGACTCAACTCTCACTGCCAAGGTCCCATTTTCAGGGCTCCATCAGCTCCAGGGTCTTCTCTGCTGAGTGTGTGTGTGTGTGTGTGTGTGTGTGTGAGAGAGAGAGAGAGAGAGAGAGAGAGAGAGAGAGAGAGAGAGAGAGAGTTCACAGGTGAGGTGGGAGTGAGTGCTGAGTACCCCAGGGCACTCCATCCTCTAATGAAGGCCAGAAGCAGGTGCCTTCCATAGCCTTGTGCCTGTCAGGTAGACCCCGACACTGAACTCCACTGCTTTCAGCGACAACCTTGATAACCGTCGTATCCCTGCCTTTCCCCCTCCCTCATCTTGTTCGTTCTTTTCCTTCATGCCTGCTTCTAAGTCACTGTTGGCTTCAGCCTTGGGGAAAGAAGGTTTGAGCTATGGTCTACAGGGACCTACCGTGGGCCAGGCTTCTTATTTATTTACTTATTTAATTTTATTGTTG